CAGCCACAGCTTCTCTGGGAAACCTGTGCCAGGGCCTCACCACCTTCATAGGAAACAATTCCTTCCCAATATCCCATCTAACCCTGCCCTCTGGCAGTGGGAAGCCGTTCCCCCTTGTCCTGTCCCTCCACCCTTGTCCCAAGTCCATCTCCAGCTCTCCTGGAGCCCCTTTAGGCACTGGAAGAGGCCCCAAGGTCTCCCTGGTGCCTTCCCTCCTCCGGGCTGAACATGGGATCTGGCTCCCACTGCTCTTCCCACCTCCAACCCAAGCCAGGAAACACTTCCCAGAGTCCAGGGTCAGAGCAACTGCAACCACCACTCCCAAAGGGAGGCAGAGGGATCCTTGCCCATCCCATCCTGGAGGTGACGGAGTCGCTGCCTTCCACCTCTCCACGAATAAACCATTGGAGCTTAGTTCCATTTTTCCTTTTAATGCAAAAAAATAGCCAAACACATCTTCCTGCCCTCCCCCCGCCCTCCCCAGGTGTGTTTCTTTTTATCTTTGCCTGTTGTTTTGCTTAATATTTCCAGCCAAGCAGCTCCCCCCTCCCAGCCCCTCCCAAACCTCCGCAGCTCTAAAGGCACCCGGCGCTTCCCCATTTCCATCTTCCCACTGAAAAATAAAGAGGGAAAACAGTGGGGTGCACATTATTTCAGCAACGTGCCAGTTCTAATCCTGCCAAGAGATTATAGGAAGAAAGAAGAAATAATAATAATAATAATAATAATAATAATAATACAAAAATAAAACCACCAAAACGAGTAGCAACAAGCACGGAGCAGCCTCAGCACACAGTGTAAACAGAAGCTGTCCCCATCCAGGATCCAGCTCTCCCGGAAAGCAACAGCACAACATGCTTTGTACACCCCAAAAAGGTCCCTGTGGCGCTGAGCAGCCAAGGGGAGGGTCTGGGTTTGAGCTTGAGTTGGTATTTTTTTGCCTTTCTGTGAAAGGCTGAAAGTGATCTCGGAGTCTCCAAGCGGCAGCACCGAGCCTGGCCAGGCAGGGAAAGGGATGGGGGGGAAAGTGCCACGGGAAGAAGTGGGATTGGGATACAGGGAACCCGGAGAGGAGGCCCCAGGGCTTTGCAGCTGGGCTATCTGGGCAGCGGGAAGGGAGAGAGTAAACAAATACAAAAAAATAGAGATACAAAAACAATTTGTGTGGAGGAAGAGGAGGAGGAGAACATGGACAGCAAATTCATGGACTGTCAGGCTCCCCAAAGCAAGAATAACAATAAAAAAAATCCCAATTGAGGTGACAGCAAAGAGTCCGACAGAACTCCCTTCCCTGGGGAAAATAAAAATACAAATGAGGTACCTGTTCCACCCCAAATCCGTCACCCCTTCCCACAGCCACATCCACGCTCCAGCCACTGGTTATTGTCTCTCAGATAAAGCCTCTGGGGCCAGGGCAGCCCCGGAGCAGAAGCACCAAGTGTGTGGCTGGTTC